AATAGGTGCTCAGCTCTTTTGTATAGTTTGCCTGAGCCAGTGGTGGAAATTCCTCATTCCAGTAGCGGGGAAAAGTCTATCCCATAGGAAAACCACCGTTGACTTCCCCACAAAATACTATTTTATTGACCCTGGAGGTATGGATGGGTTGAGTCAAGGGTCCAACCATGATTTTAACTTGGAACTTTGCGATTGCGGGCAGTTCGCTGTACAGCTGAGCCACCTGCATTGTCTTGCCGTGGTCTTGGATTGTTGCTTTGCTACCTTGCCCAACTTGCTTAACTTTTCTCTATCTCACTCTTGTATCCTTGTATTTTTCTGTTGATGTAAATTGCTGACCCACCACTACTTAGACATCTGTTAAAGAGCTTCACAGCTCAGATTCCTCCAGTATGAAGATTCTGATTCTCATTGCTGTAACGTTGGCATCCTGACCTCTTTGGCTGCGATTCCTGCTCCTTGCACGGCTTTATCTGTACTGCTGCTGCTCTCGATGTGACCTCTCCACAACTGCGCTCCCTGGCTTAGGCCCCCGCAGCCCTGCATGCAGACTGACGAAGCAGCACACACCCCCGCAGAAAGTGAAGCCATCGCACCGTGCAGCGAATAATACTCATGGCGCCTCATGGGCAGCAGCAGCATCAGTTACTCACATGAAGGCAGCTCATCTTCACTCGAGTCATCAGACGAAATGGACCGTCCTTGCGCTCTGTGGATTAGAACGTGTACCGACGAGTTAAGAGGTGTAAAGCTAAATGCTTTGTCAAGATAAGGGTGACCGCGCACAACTGACAATATAAGAATTAAGAAAAAAGAGGAATCCGATGAAGATATGAAGCTCTTTTTACCAGCGCAGATAAGCGAGTTACATCGACAAACAAAAAAACGAAAAAAAACCACAAAAATATAAACACATAAACGTATAAAAGTACAAATTACACAAGTACATATATTCCTGCTGATCTGTCAACACCAAATGCAAGCTTGGGCAAAGCAGCAAAACAACTATCCAAGACCATTCTAGATTTGAGGCTTTCGTGACTGCAAGGATTCATATTCTTAGGTTTTTTCAGTAAAGTCACATAGGTAAAACATTAAAATTAATAAAAGTAAAATAAAATAAAAATCACGACGTTTCGGAGGCAACACAAGACAATACAGCCCCTCAATTACATTGCACATAACAATGTTACTATCGCTACATGGGTAAGGTTCATAGATACAAGTCACATTTGCAAACGTTGGTGCTGCATTCTACCTGCTGGGCTGTGGGCTCCACCCATTCTCCTTCCCCTCCTTGCGACCCCCATCCACTGGACCCATGCCCTTGGCGCCACCTCCCGATGGGCCCTGCAGCCGCCGATTCCTCCGGTCGCTCAGGGAGAGCGCCGGCCTAGGCGAAGGGAGACACGGGGTCCCTGTGCCTCCATCCTGTAGTACAGCATGAAGCGAATTGGATTCATTTTAAGAGTTATTCCAAATGTTATATGTCGATATGTGTATGGAACAAGGGAATGGGTTAACCCATGACACGCTTCTCATAAAGGACACGGAAATGATACGGCCCATATTAGTGGTCACTGGGAGAGCAAAATTGGAGGAAACTAGAGCAGCCACGTTGAGATGAGACGCGAGATCTTTTGTCAAGGATGATTTCTCTCGATATTTTAGGCAGACCCGCACTGTGTGGAGCAAAGCCCAATGAGAGGCTTAAGAGGTGGAAAAGGTGGGGTCATCAGGGACCGTGAGGCCGCGCTAGAATTTAAGAGGGCCTGCTTGTCTTCTGGACGCCCAAAGACTCATTCCACAATCCTGCTAGAAAGGGCTGCCACAGGTGCCAAGTCCTCGTTACGGAGACAGTGCCCCAAGAATTCAAGCTTTCAAGGAAGTTGTCACTGCCCTTCTGCGTGGACTCGCAGCAGAGCAGTGGAGATTGCAAAACATGAGTGTCGATTTGTTGTCCTGCATAGATATGCTTTTTATTAAACGATTTTATTATCGTGTTGATTCCAGTTGTTCAAGGTTTTTGTTTTAATACGTGAGATAAGCGGCTATTGTGGCAGTGTACATCCTCCTCGTCCATCAGACCCTCACCCACCCAGTGCTGCAAATGAATCCACTCCGTGAGAAAGCACGATCAGAGAAACAGCACTCCGCTACACATGTGGGACGGAGTACAGATTTGGACAATTCCTGAGCTGCTTCAGTGGCCAAGTGCTGTCCTACCCCTCCCCCTCCACCACTGCTGCCCCCCGTAACCTTCTATCCAGTTTAACACGTAGGCTTTCATGACAAATATCCATAAGAGCTTATTTTGGGTTAGATCGTGAAAATTCTAATGTGTCGTTAAACCCACCACCACTCGACACAGCCAATTAGTAACGTTTGGTCATGTAAGCAAAACATGCCAATTCGTTACTAGTTCAGCACTATCAGTGTGTTGGAGAGTGAACCCACAACATTTACAATTCGCGTACCGTCGCGTTTCACCAGTAATTACAACCAGCCTCATCAGGCGACAGCCAGAGTTGTGGAGGAATCCTCCTGTTTCGGTATTAAATAGAGGGGATACATATGGTGCCAGTTTAATGTCTTCATATAAATTACAATGAATGTCTATTATTGGTTGGGTTATTCAAAGTTAATCTACAAACAGTTCTATGAAATGAGACCTTTTTGCCAGCATCAAAGTATGAAAAAATTATAGGTTTTACACTTTCTGACAATAAGACAGGTGTTAAGATGTCCCATTTTGTAGCTGCTCACCCGTAGCTATAAATGCTCTGATAGTGCATTAGCTTCAATCAGTTTAAATACAATGCATACACTATATCAGAGCATGTTTGTTTGCATGTTCATCATAAGCAGTGCGTGTGGTTAATGCAGTGCTTGATTCCTTGCAAATGGTTTCGATTTGGTATTTGAATATCTTAACACCTTCAGATTCATTGCCAGAAAGGTTGAGACCTATTCTTGTTTTTTCATACTTTGATACTGGAAAAAGGTCCCATTTCGTAGCTGCTCACCCGGGAGCTATAAACACTTTAATAGTGCATTGTCTTTGCGCCGTTCGCCTTTAGGCGTTCTCTGTTCTGACACTGGTGAGACTGGCCCATAAAAAATGCTGTCTCTGGTGTCGACCAATCAGTTTCAAATACAATGCTAACATAATTATCAGAGCATGTTTGTTTACATGTTCACCACAAGCAGTGTGCGTGGTTAATTTCTTGCAAATTGTTTCTATTTGGTGTTTAAAACATCTTAAAACACCTCCCGTATTATTGACACAAAGGGTAAACACATATCCTTATACCATTGGAACCTCATTTGCCAGTAGCAAAATATGATAATAGTTGTTTTACCCTTTCATCTGGCAACAAAACTGACACCTTTTTTTACAAGGAGTCATGTTTGCATTGACCACAATACCTGCGGTCGGAATGCAAACAAAAAACCCAACTCTGATAATGTATGCACTGTCCTTGAAATTGATTTGTTCCACACCCGAGACAGCTTTCCTTAGAGCCTAGTCTCACATGGTGAACCAGATGATGCCAAAAGGCACGTTATTTTTTTCATACATTTCCATCCCTGCCCATTCACGAACCCCACACCAACCCCCCTACCCCCACGTTGTCCTCACCGAGTTGGGGCTCAGGCTCGCGAGTTCCAGGCGTCTTTGAACTCGTGCAAGCAGCGACTCCGGATCCAGCAGTCCTGCCATGGTCTGTGGCACAGCAGAGAGGCGTGCAAGCATCCTCGGTCATCTCGGGGGGCCACGATTACTCTCACTGCTGGACGGAGCCAAGCCCGGCCAGCCACCCCCCACTAGCCACGGCGTGGCCCGCAATCATTCAACGCCGCCTCGGTGCAACAAATCGACACCGGCCCACGTTGACGCAGCATTCGTTTCGTATGCTTTGCGACGAGCACCTGTTTGTTGTTTGAAAATAACGAGCGTGTGGAATATAGTAATATGTTTTTTACCCTTTCATCTGGTACAAGAACTGACACCTTTAAACAAGGGATCGTGTTTGCAATAACCACAACACAAGCAGTCAAAATGCAAACAGAGAGCGTGTGAAATTTTACCCAACACATTCAACGAGAAAAACACACGAAAGAAACGAGTGTATTACAAACCAAAAACGCGACGCTACTTGGAATCTCGACAGTTACCATTTAGTAATCAATCTTTAACACGAGGGCACCCCATTTTTAAATGCACCACATCTCACCGCGCGCCAGCCGCGGGGTGTAAAAACGAGTGCAACAGTTGCCACCAACCTGTATTCTTCTCTGCACGCCTTTGTTTCCCCCACGAGTCGCCCACGTTGCCACCACCACCACCCACGTTGCCACCACCACCACTGCTACTACTGCCTTAAGGGCCCCGCGCCACTTTGATTTGACTGGCGGCAGCGCGGCTCCCATTGGCTCCCGCCGAGCCACCGTGACCCCCCCCCCCCCCCCCGATAATGCGCGGCCGTTGGGTTCGCGCAACCGCCGCGCTGATTGGCTGCCGGGTTGTTGTAGCGCCGCCTCATTCTCAACCTTCTCACTGTTCGACGAAGCCCCGCCCCATAGGGGGAGGAGCTTCGCCCAATAGAAAGCGGCCCGCCCAATGGTAAAGGCGCCCCCAACCAATGGGAGGCGCCCTCCCCCCCCCCCCCCAGCTGTTCCGGCAGAGACCCCGCCTTTTCCGGCGGAGACCCAGTCCACTTCGCCGTTTCCGGTGTAAGCTCCGCACTTTCCGCCAGAAACATCGCGAGCCCCCCCCCCCCCACTTCATTTAATAATAGCGGCTCCACCCCCCTCTCGAGTCGAGACGCTTCCGGGCAGAGGCCCCGCCTCTTCCGGTAAAGAGGCCCCGCCTTTTCCGGTAGAGAGGCCCCGCCTCTTCCGGTAGAGAGGCCCGCCTTTTTCGGTAGAGAGGCCCCGCCTCTTTCGGTAGAGAGGCCCCGCCTCTTCCGGTAGAGAGGCTCCGCCTCTTCCGGTACAGAGGCCCCGCCCTCCCCCTCGAGCCCCCGCCCACGTCTTTGCTCGTGCGGCTCCGCCCGTTGCTGCTGCTCGGAGCCGCGCGCCTCGGTTCCCATGGCGCTCGCGGACAGAGGTCCCTGAGGTGTGTGTGAGTGTGTGTCACACGTGTACTGTGTGTGTGTCACACGTGTACTGTGTGTGTGTCACACGTGTACTGTGTGTGTACTGTGTGTGTCACACGTGTACTGTGTGTGTGTGTCACACGTGTACTGTGTGTGTCACGTGTACTGTGTGTGTACTGTGTGTGTGTCACACGTGTACTGTGTGTGTGTCACACGTGTACTGTGTGTGGGCAGTGTGTGTCACACGTGTACTGTGTGTGTACTGTGTGGGCAGTGTGTCACACGTGTACTGTGTGTTTCACACGTGTACTGTGTGTACTGTGTGTGTCACACGTGTACTGTGTGAGTGTCACACGTGTACTGTGTGTGTGTCACGTGTACTATGTGGGCAGTGTGTCACACGTGTACTGTGTGTGTGTCACACGTGTACTGTGTGTGTACTGTGTGAGTGTCACACGTGTACTGTGTGTGTGTCACACGTGTACTGTGTGTTTGTCACACGTGTACTGTGTGGATAGTGTGTGTGTCACACGTGTACTGTGTGTTTGTCACACGTGTACTGTGTGTGTCACATGTGTACTGTGTGAGCAGTGTGTCACACGTATACTGTGTGTGTCACACGTGTACTGTGTGTTTGTCACACGTGTACTGTGTGTGTCACACGTGTACTGTGTGTTTGTCACACGTGTACTGTGTGGATAGTGTGTGTGTCACACGTGTACTGTGTGTTTGTCACACGTGTACTGTGTGTGTCACATGTGTACTGTGTGAGCAGTGTGTCACACGTGTACTGTGTGTGTGTGTCACGTGTGCTGTGTGGGTGTCACATGTGCACTGTGTGGATAGTGTGTGTGTCACACGTATACTGTGTGGGCAGTGTGTCACACGTGTACTGTGTTACACGTGTACTGTGTATGTGTGTCACGTGTACTGTGTGTTACACGTGTACTGTGTGTGTGTGTCACGTGTACTGTGTGTTACACGTGTACTGTGTGTTACACGTGTACTGTGCACTCTGAACTACGTGTACTCGTGCAGGCCACTTGTTCTGCGTGCACGTACGTTGCTGAGGTGCAATGTGCAAGCCTCGTGCACTGCGTGTGCAGTACACACGCTGCACGCGTGCAGATCGCGTTTACCGCGCGTGTCCAGTGTACTGTGTGCAAGATGAGTGTACTGTGTGTGCATCTCATATGCACTGTGTTTCCCATGCAAGTCTACTCCGCGTAGTGTCCAGTGCAAGTGCACTGCGTGTGTACTGTGCGTGCAGGACGAGTGGACTGATCGTGTGTCGTGTGTGTGTGCTGGGTGCGTGCGAGACGTTTACTGCGTGCAAGACGGCGTACACTGCACTGCCGCCTGTGTGTTGAGCAAAGTGTGTACGGTGGTGTCCGAGGCGAGAAACACGCCGTGCGTGATGCCGGGACAGGCATTACGCAGTGCACGCACGCGCCGCGTGTGGGTGCGGGGTTGTCCGTGCGTGGCTGCTCGTGTTGGGAGCCGTGACCTCCTCCCTCCACTGCTCGGCGGTGACCTCAATCGCTCCTCCTGTCGCTGCTGCTGTTGTTGCTGCTGCTGTTGTTGTTGTGGCCGCTGCTGCTGCTGCTGTTGTTGTGGCTGCTGCTGCTGCTGTACCGGCGGAGCGAGAAGGCAGCGAATGGAGCCCGGCGCCGGCTTCGTCAGCCCCGGCAGCTCTGGCACGCTGGGAGCGGAGCTGCAAATCACTGACTCCTTGGCTGACTGGCTCTATCCCTGAATATGACTCTATCCCTGAATATGACTCTATCTGTCACTGACTCTATGCCTCACTGAGTGACGATGCCAGAGTGAGGTACTCCTTGACTGACTATGCCTGACTGACTGACTCTCTGCATGCCTTACTGACTCCATACCTGATTAGCCCCATACCTAACTGACCCCATATCAAACGATCGAACCTATAATCTAGATTTGAAGTTTGATCTAGATTTGTGATAAATTTATTTTATACCTGCGTGACCTTACCTAAAGAACCAAAGCGTATGATTGACCCTATACCTGGCTGTCCCATACCTTACTGATCCCATTTTGGACTGATCCCATATATGACTGACCGCATACCTGGCTGTCCCATACATTACTGATCCCATTTTGGACTGATCCCATATATGACTGGTCCCATACCTGAATGACCCCATGCCTGTCTGGCCATCGCCCGTGGGATTGAGCGGGAGCTGTGGGCTCGGTTCAGGGCTCCCGCCCTCGGTGTCACATCGCTTGTGGTGGAGCACACTCATACGTGCGGCCAGTTGTACTTCCTCAGCAGCAGTGTCTCTGTCTGTGTCCGTACCCCGGCCTGCACAGCCCCCTGAAGCCAGTTTCCCGCTTGTTGGAGAGGTTTGCGGTTCGAACCCAGCGGGCCGACCTGGTTAATGCTGATGGTGTATTATTATTAAATACTACGCACCGTCTGCTTCACAGTGGATGTTAAACATCCCATGGTGTCATTTAAAAAAGAGCAGGCCAATGTGTACTGGCATCACGATCCAAATTGGCAAAAAATACTCGCATATTACTCACTTGGGAAACGCACAGCAATCGTCACGATCGACCACGAAGTAGGACCTTCCTGAAAAACATTCTTGGGACTCGCTGAGGCCTTCCCGGATCAACAAGCGTAACAATAATAATAATAAATGGCTGCAGAGGTCACTTGAAGCAGACAGAATATATTTTTTTATTGAAATAAATAATTCCATGCGTACTTTGTTGCTTGTGTGTCATGATTCTAATCCACGCTACAAAGCCAGCGCGCGAGTGAGCTGCGCTCACGTTGGCTGTGTGGAAGCTGCTGCTGCTGCCATGGCTGTCGCCTGCGCGCCCTGTGCAAGGCATTGTGGCCGCCACCGTTGCGTCATGATTTTGTGAGGTTTTCACCAAGAATTGAGGTCAGCAGCACAGGCGCTGTGAAACTGAGTTTTAAACACGTGCCACTTGCATCTGCCATCGTCCGCGAATGACGTCTGTGCGTGTGCTTTACGTGTGCGTGTGTTTTTGTTGCCAGGCGGGGGACGGCCCCCGACGTGAAACATGACGGCCCACTCGCCCCTGCAGGCCGTCCCGCAGGACACGGTGAACCGCAATGCGCCGGCCCTGCCGCCGACGTTCCTCAACCTGCGCGTCTCGCACAACGAGTTGCTCACCGCCGAGCTCCTGCGAAAGCAGGGGCCTCCCGCAGACCTCGCCCCCCGCAGTCCAGCGGCCTCCTCTAGGGCTCCGCTCAACGGCCATCAGCCCTTGATGACGGCCGTGAGGCCTCACGAAAGCACAGGGCACTCGGAGCTGAGGCAGAGTGGAGCGCCGGACGGTTGCGGTGGCGGCGGAGACGGAGACCGGGACCGGCACGAGGGATGTGACGGGGAGGACAGCCGAGAGGGCGGAGACGAAGACGACCCCAACCACAACCCCGGGACCACGCGGCCCCGCATCCGGCACCGCCGCGGCAACGGCAAAACCCGTGCCGAGCCAGCCGAGAGTGCCGGCAACAAGTGCCCCCGCGCCGGTGCCGACGTGCAGATCCGTGGCCCCGCCAGGGCCTTGGAGAGGAAATCTGAGGTGCTCGGTGATGGAACCAGTGACGCCCACAGCCGAAACGGGAGCGATGGTGCCAGGGTGGAGAGCGAGACCAAGGTTGACATAGAAGCAGAGGTGATGATGGATGCCGGCAGGGAGAGCGGGGAGGATGTTAGCGGGGAGGCGAATAATCCTCACATGGGGAGCGACGGTGCGGGGCAAGATGAGGACGTAGGAGCACGTCGCGATGGCGGGAGTCCGGAGAGAGTGGTGGACCAGGGCAAGGGCAGCGCAGGCGGTCAGGAGGAGGAGGAGGTGAACGGCCGTGGAGACGCGGAAGACGCTGACGCACTGCAAGACGGGGCGCAGGGTCTGCGCAGCTTCTACGGGATGCGCAACACGGGCGGCAGCGACGAGGACTCGAGCTGGACGACGCTGTCCCAGGGCAGCGCCGTGTGGAGCTCCCCCGATGACGCCGGTAAAAACAACCCCCCCCGTGCTCGTTACCTCCATCTGTCATTCGTTCTTTGCTTCATAGATTCATTGCACAGAACGTGCATGTGACCAATTCACCTGGAATGCACCCAATACTTCTTGTTTTTTTCGGTAAAGTCACGTAAGTAAAAAATAAAATAAATTAAAAAAATTTAAACAACTAAATTAAATCACGACGTTTCTGAAGCAACACAAGCATCCGTCTTCAGGTGTGACCGCTCCAGCAAAAATATGACGGATGCTTGTGTTGCTTCTGAAACGTCGTGATTTAATTTAGTTTTCATTTTATAATGTATTTTATTTTTTACCTACGTGACTTTACAATTGACTTTACAATTTGGTAAAAGTTAAAGAGGCAAATGGAGAAAATGTTAGAACACAGTGTATTCTTTGGGTCTTTCGGTAAAGTCCACGTAGATGGAACAAATAATAAAAATAATAACAATATCACGACGTTTCGATCGCAACACAATCAATCGTCATCAGGTGAAACATATAGCAGTAGAGCTTGTGTTGCGGTCGAAACGTCGTGATATTATTTTTTTTATTATTTGTTCTATCTACGTGGCTTTACCGAAAAAAACAAGGAGTATGGATCCCTGCAGTCACGAAAACTTCGAATCTAGAATGTACCCAATCTTGTCAGATTTCCGAATCTAAGCAGGCTTGAGCCTGGATAGTGCCTGCATGGTTGCCCACAGTGCTTAAAGCAGGTTCCGTAGGCTGCTACGGGGCTACGCTGAGGGTAACATCCATTGTTGTACTGTTCCGTCCTCCAATGCCTATGCAACCTGCACCACCTACGTGGCTTGCGAAGGCCCTCATCCAGCAGGAGATTGACAGAAGGGGGTTGTGCTTGTAAACCCCCGAAATCAGAGGTGGTTCGGGGCAGGTGTAAAAACTTAAGATAGGGACGAGGCTCATTTGCAAGAGTGACCTTGGTCGTCAAAGTTACAACTTGTAACTCCAGGTCTTCTCGGCCACAGTGATGCACTCTCTTGTGTGTGCTTGCAAAAGTTGTATGTATGTTGAACTTATTTTGCACCGTACGTAGCCAACCGTGCTAATTGGAGGTGCGGATCTCTCTTAAGAAACATCTGCACTGGTTTGATACATTTAGGCTGGCCTGCCTCTGATCTATTCCGGCGTTAACTAGGCTGGATTGTGTGAGGAGCACACAGATCCTGTCTCATCAGTGAGCTCTTACTGCAGGTGAAGCTGCATTGGTTGAGTCTTGTAGCCCACATGCCCAGCCACCATATGCCCAAGCAGCTTCTGTTGACCTGATAGAGGGGGATAAACAGGCACGGCACGGGCAAGAGAAGAGATGGGCTGATGTGGCACAGGAGGATGTGGAGCTGAGTGGACTTGCCAATGACTGGTACCAGCAGTGTCAAGATCGGTCTCGATGGAGGAGGCATTCTGCCGGAGGCAACAACAGAGCGGAGCACTGGGCGGTAAAAATGCAACAAATTTGCCGAGTAGGGAGCACAGGTGGTGCCTCTACCAGTCATCTCAATTAGTCAACCCATGGCACCTGGGTCTCTCCTGTGACCCGTCAACAGGCCTTTGACACTTCACATGGCCTGTGCCAGGCGAGGTGCACTGCCGCTTCGTGGTGAATGGCTGCTTTTGTCGTATTTGTGTGTTCATGACCGATAGCAGTGGCGATATTTGAACTCGTCATATGTTGCCTTAGATGAGTACTTGGCGCGGTGTGTAAACGTCAGCACTGGGGAGACAAAGGCGGTCGGACGTGGTGCTGGCCACCCACCCCCTTATGTGCTTTGCCAGCCTTCATAGGCGCTCACTAAAGGCACCAACAGCCTGTTAATGGCTATGCAGGGAATGTTTGTCTTTGTGCGTGATGACGTGAGTGTAAATGTGCGCGTGTGTGCACCCGGGTTCGATTCCCACTCACGGCCAACACCAGTGACGATTATCTGAACCGGTCCTGGGCCTCCCCTAGGTCGACTCAGCCCCAAGTAGAGTACGTGGTTGCGGCGTGTAAACATCGCCACTGGGGAGACAAAGGCGGTCGGGCGTGGTGCTGTCCACCCACCCCCTATCGTGCGCCGTGGCCGTCCTTCATAGGGTGCTCGCGAACAGCACTTGCCCCAACAGTCTGCTGAGGCTACACAGGGGAGGGGTGGGTGGGGGATCTTTTGTCTTTGTGCGCGCGCGCGCCTGCGTGCCGCCGTGATCTGGTACCCCCCCCCCCCCCGGTGCCCTTGACGACGCTGTTGCTAGGGGGGGGGGGGAGCGATCACGTCAGAGCGGCGCGTGCCGTGCCACGGTCGGCGCAGATCGCTGGCCACCCGACCCGTGGTGGCAGGGGAAGGGGCTCCCGCTCCCTCCCACCCACCCACCCACCAGCCACCACCCACCCACCCACCAGCCACCACCCACCCACCCACCAGCCACCACCCACCCACCCACCCACCAGCCACCACCCACCACCCACCACCCACCCACCCACCAGCCACCACCCACCCACCCACCCACCAGCCACCGCCCACCCACCCACCACCAGCCACCACCCACCCACCCACCAGCCACCACCCACCCACCCACCCACCAGCCACCACCCACCCACCCACCCACCAGCCACCACCCACCCACCCACCCACCAGCCACCACCCACCCACCCACCAGCCACCACCCACCCACCCACCCACCAGCCACCACCCACCCACCCACCCACCAGCCACCACCCACCCACCCACCACCAGCCACCACCCACCCACCCACCAGCCACCACCCACCCACCCACCCACCAGCCACCACCCACCCACCCACCCACCAGCCACCACCCACCCACCCACCCACCAGCCACCACCCACCACCACCCACCCACCACCCACCACCCACCAGCCACCACCCACCCACCCACCCACCAGCCACCACCCACCCACCCACCCCACCAGCCCACCCACCACCCACCAGCCACCACCCACCCACCACCAGCCACCACCCACCCACCAGCCACCCACCCACCCACCAGCCACCCACCCACCCACCCACCAGCCACCCACCCACCACCCACCAGCCACCCACCCACCAGCCACCCACCCACCACCCCACCAGCCACCCCCCACCCACCAGCCACCCACCCACCCACCCACCAGCCACCCACCCACCCACCACCCACCAGCCACCCACCCACCCACCCACCAGCCACCCACCCACCCACCCACCAGCCACCCACCCACCCACCAACAGCCACCCACCCAACAGCCACCCACCAGCCACCCACCCACCAGCCACCAACCACCAGACACCAGCCACCAACCACCACCCACCCAACAGCCACCACAACCACCCCACCCAACAGCCACCCACCCACCAACAGCCACCCACCCACCCATCACACCCCCACCACCCAACAGCCACCCACCCACTCACCACCCACCCACGCACCCACCCATCCACCCACCCACGCATCCACCCACCCACGCACCCACCCACGCATCAACCCACCCACCGAACACCCACCCACCCAACACACACCCACCCAACACACACCCACCCACGCACCCACCAGCCACCACCCAACGCACCCACCTACCCACCACCACGCATCCACCACCACGCATCCATCCACCCACCACCCATCCTCGGGAGCCGCGTGGCTCCACCTGCCGGAACCCTTCGGCCGATCCTTCCCGGAGCAGGGAACGGGGTCGCCTCCTGTTCTGTTCTGTGCGGCACGGCAAGTGCAGGCAGCGGGTGGGGGGGATTTGTGTCTTGACCGTCGCCTGGTGTCATCCAGAGCCCCCCCCCCCACAGTCTGCGGAGGCAGCGGTGGCCCTGGGGGTTCGTCTGTTAGTCCGCGTGTGCGTCTGTGCCTTGGTAAATAAATAACCTCGTGGGGAGGGCGGTGACCGCGCCCCTCGTGTGCCTGGGCGTGCGTCATGCTGAGCAAGGACTACACGCTGGCCATCGTGCTCGTCAACTATGGAGGTAGGCGGCCCCCGCTTGGATGTGTGGAGACGTGCGTGCGTTGAACTTCTTTCGCACCGTACCGTAGCCAACAATCGTGCGAATCGGTGGTGGTGGTGGTGCTGGTGGGGGGGGGCGATGGAGCGATCCACTCTCGTGCTTATTCACGCGCACGCTCATGCACCCGGTCTAGCTGTGTGTGAGTCAGTCTAGTTGTGTGTGAGTCAGTCTAGCTGTGTGTGAGTCAGTCTAGCTGTGTGTGAGTCAGTCTAGCTGTGTGTGAGTCAGTCTAGCTGTGAGTCAGTCTAGCTGTGAGTCAGTCTAGTTGTGAGTGAGTCAGTCTAGCTGTGTGTGAGTCAGTCTAGCTGTGTGTGAGTCAGTCTAGCTGTGAGTCAGTCTAGCTGTGAGTCAGTCTAGTTGTGAGTCAGTCTAGCTGTGTGTGAGTCAGTCTAGCTGTGAGTGAGTCAGTCTAGCTGTGTGTGAGTCAGTCTAGCTGTGAGTCAGTCTAGCTGTGAGTCAGTCTAGTTGTGAGTCAGTCTAGCTGTGTGTGAGTCAGTCTAGCTGTGAGTGAGTCAGTCTAGCTGTGTGTGAGTCAGTCTAGTTGTGAGTGAGTCATTCTAGCTGTGTGTGAGTCAGTCTAGCTGTGTGTGAGTCAGTCTAGCTGTGAGTGAGTCAGTCTAGCTGTGTGTGAGTCAGTCTAGCTGTGTGTGAGTCAGTCTAGCTGTGTGTGAGTCAGTCTAGTTGTGTGTGAGTCAGTCTAGTTGTGTGTGAGTCTAGCTGTGAGTGAGTCAGTCTAGCTGTGTGTGAGTCAGTCTAGCTGTGTGTGAGTCTAGCTGTGAGTGAGTCAGTCTAGCTGTGAGTGAGTCAGTCTAGCTGTGTGTGAGTCAGTCTAGTTGTGTGTGAGTCTAGCTGTGAGTGAGTCAGTCTAGCTGTGAGTGAGTCAGTCTAGCTGTGTGTGAGTCTAGCTGTGAGTAAGTCAGTCTAGCTGTGTGTGAGTCAGTCTAGCTGTGAGTGAGTCAGTCTAGTTGTGTGTGAGTCTAG